TCTTTCAACATTGAAGTTGCTGTTTAGTGGATAGGTGAGTGCGCTGGATCTTGTGTATTGTATTATTTGGCCCCCAGCAGCACCCCCATTTATGCATGTTAAGGTGAGTGCAGCCAACCCCCTCTTGTTTTTATATATATTTGGGAGTCTAGCCAACTCCTTGGTTTTGCACCCCTCCCTGTCACAGGTGCCTCATCCCAGGGCCCTATTTAGCCTTGTACTGCAGAGAGCCCTAGATGGAATTTTTTTCCCCAAGTAGGTTAATCTCATAAGAGCAGACATTAGGCTGTTAGTGTAGGACCTGCCAAAGATGGGGTACATTGACGTTGTGGCAGGCTTATGCAATGTATGATCATATAATGTAACCAAACCCCCATTATTTTTGCCTAGATTAGGTGTTTTTAAAAAAAACAAATAAAATCTTTCAACATTGAAGTTGCCGCTAGTGATAGGTGAGGCAATGATCTTGTGTATTGTAGCCATTGGGCCCCAGCAGCACCCCCATTTATGCATGTTAAGGTGAGTGCAGCCAACCCCCCTCTTCTTGTTTTTATATATATTTGGGAGTTCAGCCAACTCCTTGGTTTTGCACCCCTCCCTGTCACAGGTGCCTCATCCCAGGGCCCTATTTAGCCTTGTACCGCAGAGAGCCCCAGATGGAATTTTTTTCCCCAAGTAGGTTAATCTCATAAGAGCAGACATTAGGCTGTTAGTGTAGGACCTGCCAAAGATGGGGTACATTGATGTTGTGGCAGGCTTATGCAATGTATGATCACATAATGTAACTAAACCCCATTATTTTTGCCTAGATTAGGTGTTTTTAAAAAAACAAATAAAATCTTTTAACATTGAAGTTGCTGTTTAGTGGATAGGTGAGTGCGCTGGATCTTGTGTATTGTATTATTTGGCCCCCAGCAGCACCCCCATTTATGCATGTTAAGGTGAGTGCAGCCAACCCCCTCTTGTTTTTTATATATATTTGGGAGTCTAGCCAACTCCTTGGTTTTGCACCCCTCCCTGTCACAGGTGCCTCATCCCAGGGTCCTATTTAGCCTTGTACTGCAGAGAGCCCCAGATGGAATTTTTTTCCCCAAGTAGGTTAATCTCATAAGAGCAGACATTAGGCTGTTAGTCTAGGACCTGCCAAACATGGGGTACATTGACGTTGTGGCAGGCTTATGCAATGTATGATCATATAATGTAACTAAACCCCCATTATTTTTGCCTAGATTAGGTGTTTTTAAAAAAACAAATAAAATCTTTCAACATTGAAGTTGCTGTTTAGTGGATAGGTGAGTGCGCTGGATCTTGTGTATTGTATTTATGTATGTAGATATATTATTTCGTTCTACGTGTATTTTGATATAAATATATATATTAATATCACAATACAGTTAGAACGAAATAACACACATCTATATAATTTTTAATTATTTTTTTTACGTATTTACATATTTAATTTTTTTATATTATATATATATATATATATATAACAATAATTATATATATATTTAATCAGTATCAGTCTACGTGTAATTTGATATTAATATAAATATATATATATATATATATTATATATAATTATATATATATATATTAATAGTAAAATACACCTAGACAGTGTACATGTGTGTGTGTATGTATATATATATATATATATATATATATATATATATATATATATATATATATATATATATATATATATATATATATCTCTAAGTATATATTATTTTTTTTTACACTTTTAACATTTATTTATTTTATTTTCAGCCAGCAGGGGGACCACCTGTAATTACAGGCAGCCCCCCTGCTGGCAATACAGAAGCCAGCTTTCCTGGCCATGTGATTGTGAGGTCCTCGCAAGGACCTCACTCTCACATGGCCAGGGGGGCAACGGAGGAGGTGGATCTGCTGTGGGGGGGCTCCCTGGGAGTCCCCCCCACCACGATCGCCGGCGTGGGACCGCAGGCAACCGAGTAAGTAAACAAAAACCGGAGGCCGTACAATTACGCCCGGCGGCGTTTAGAGCCGCATAAAATAGGACGTAATTGTACGCCCTCTGGTCTTAAGGGGTTAAATGAAATACATTTGTATTGCCCCTCTCCTGGTATCAATTAAATACTCCTCCCTTCCCTTAATCTGTACTTTCTTCTCTCTTTCTTTCCCTCTTTTATATTAAATATCTAGAATATCTTTTTCAATGTTTTAGTGTTTGATTTTACATATTAACCCCTTAAGACCGGAGGGCGTACTATTACGCCCTATTTTAAGCAGCTCTTAACGCCGCCGGGCGTAATAGTACGCCCTTAGGTCTTTCTGTACTTACCCAGTCTCCGGCGATCCCACGCCAGCGATCGCGGTTGGGGGGACTCCCAGGGAGCCCCCCACAGCACGTCCAACCCCCTGGAAGCCCCCCCGGCCATGTGAGAGTGAGGTCCTTGCGAGGACCTCACAATCACATGGCCGGGATAGCTGCCTCCTGCATTGCCAGCAGGGGGGCTGCCTGTAATGACAGGTGGTCCCCCTGCTGGCTGAAAAAAAAAAAAAAGTTAAAAGTGTAAAAAAAATAAATATATACTTAGATCATATATATATATATATATATATATATATATATATATATATATGATAATAGAAAAATTCCCAAAGGTAAGGGTGTATGGAGAGGAGAACAAACGTCTATCTCTCACAATACACTCGACTAAGGGTATGCCCACTAGGGGGGTATAGAATCCCCTGGTTAACAAAGATGAATAAAAAAATAAATAAAAAATACTTTATTGAAAAACGGTGTAGAGACTAGATAAAATACATGGGGTCCGGGATGGGGGGATGGCTCATAGTCCGTGAGATTATAATAGTACAATGGGAGGCAGTCAGGCAGATATGGATCACTATATGGCAATATTATAAGCCAATAGGTAACTGGGAGCTTGTGTGTTCAAAGTAGCATGTCATACTGAAGTATCTATGATGTAACACATTTCAGGAAGCTCCTTGGTGAGCCAAAATGTCTGCACAAAATGTAATCAAACTACTATTATGGGAATAGCACCCAGTAAATAAGGTGTGATTCCCTGGAGTTTGTGACAAGCTGTAAGCCCGTTAGATAAATGGTAGATAAATCGGGCAAAAAAATGCTCACTACACTAGTGAGATGACCTGGAATCGAAAGTATATACTCTAAGTAAAGAGAAATAAAATCTAAAAGAAATTCCTCTTATATATAACGATACCCAGATAACTCAATTCCTCTAGATAGTAGTCAGCCCCACAGTTCAAAAGTAGTGGAATGCTTGCAAATACAGATCAAGTAGCAGCATTAAAAGTATATTGCTAATTTGTAGCAGAATGTTATCAAGTCTTAAACATAGTTCTATGTACCCTGAGATTGTTGCTTCAAAAAAGGGTACAGTGTTGCACTAAAAAGAACTGATTATACACAAAGTATGGCTCCAAAGTCTGCCCCTGCTTCCTAGGTAGAAAAGAAAAACGACTCTCAGCCGACAGGCACATCATCCCCAAATACCCAGCCCCATGCTGTTATGCGAAAAAATAATAAATAAGAGAAAAAGAGGTAGGAAAATCTGCCCAAACCAAAAAATAATAAAATAAAATAAGCGTATAGCTATCAAATATAAAAAGTATATATAGCTATATAGAGCTGCTCACTCAAAATATACGCCTAGGTCTAAAGTCAGACGACAAGGTGAAAAGTAAATGACTAGACTAAGATTCTACATAACTCATGTAAATCGCTATGCTGAGCTTCTAACTCAAAATAATAATAAGAGAAATCTGCCTAGATCTAAATCAGACTTAGTAAATGAAGTAAAGGGTAAACTAACTAGGCTAAGTTTCTAAATAATTTGACGCGCGTTTCGGCGCTGTGTGGCGCCTTTTTCGCCGCCAGGGTTTATAAAGGGCTAGTGCCAGGGAGGGGCGGAGGAGGGGGAGGAGCCAGGGAGTGCTCGACCCGGCAGATCTGCCGGTTAGAAGACAGTGTGAAGAATTAGTATCACGGTTAAAGCTTATACACTCATACCGTAAATGATTTTTAAAGGGCAGGTCCTTGAAAAGCACAGTCTCGAAACAAAGGCATCCTGTAGGAAATATAAGATATATAGTATAATTGCAATTGCAGAGAAAGCGATGTCTGCTTTCAATGATATCATGCATCTTAAAAAAAGTCATCAGGGCTGCCTATAAATCATTAAAGTAATAAAAGGAGGAACAAAGGTTTTAGAATATAGATTAAACCAATAGGAATTGAAAACTGTATTAAAGACTATATCAGATCATTGATATTATTATTTGAAAAATTAGAGCACACACATTAAAACAGACAGGATTACATATAGTGTATATGATAATTATAAGAAGGGAGAAAAGGAGAACCCCTCATTCAGACCATTAGGACTCAGGGCCTTCAGTCGATAGATCCAGAAACATTCTCTTTGCCTAAGGAATCTGTCATAATCGCCTCGTCTGGGATTCTTTTTAACCAGTTCTAAGCCACAAAAGCGTAACCCCTTAGGGTCGCTGTTGTGATGTTCACGAAGGTGCCTAGAAATAGGGGTTTCAACTGAATATTTACTGGATCTGATGTGTTCTTGTATACGTTTCTTAAAGGGGCGGAATAAAAAGAACTGATTATACACAAAGTATGGCTCCAAAGTCTGCCCCTGCTTCCTAGGTAGAAAAGAAAAATGACTCTCAGCCGACAGACACATCATCCCCAAATACCCAACCCCATGCTGTTATGCGAAAAAATAATAAATAAGAGAAAAAGAGGTAGGAAAATCTGCCCAAACCAAAAAATAATAAAATAAAATAAGCGTATAGCTATCAAATATAAAAAGTATATCTAGCTATATAGAGCTGCTCACTCAAAATATACGCCTAGGTCTAAAGTCAGACGACAAGGTGAAAAGTAAATGACTAGACTAAGATTCTACATAACTCATGTAAATCGCTATGCTGAGCTTCTAACTCAAAATAATAATAAGAGAAATCTGCCTAGATCTAAATCAGACTTAGTAAATGAAGTAAAGGGTAAACTAACTAGGCTAAGTTTCTAAATAATTTGACGCGCGTTTCGGCGCTGTGTGGCGCCTTTTTCGCCGCCAGGGTTTATAAAGGGCTAGTGCCAGGGAGGGGCGGAGGAGGGGGAGGAGCCAGGGAGTGCTCGACCCGGCAGATCTGCCGGTTAGAAGACAGTGTGAAGAATTAGTATCACGGTTAAAGCTTATACACTCATACCGTAAATGATTTTTAAAGGGCAGGTCCTTGAAAAGCACAGTCTCGAAACAAAGGCATCCTGTAGGAAATATAAGATATATAGTATAATTGCAATTGCAGAGAAAGCGATGTCTGCTTTCAATGATATCATGCATCTTAAAAAAAGTCATCAGGGCTGCCTATAAATCATTAAAGTAATAAAAGGAGGAACAAAGGTTTTAGAATATAGATTAAACCAATAGGAATTGAAAACTGTATTAAAGACTATATCAGATCATTGATATTATTATTTGAAAAATTAGAGCACACACATTAAAACAGACAGGATTACATATAGTGTATATGATAATTATAAGAAGGGAGAAAAGGAGAACCCCTCATTCAGACCATTAGGACTCAGGGCCTTCAGTCGATAGATCCAGAAACATTCTCTTTGCCTAAGGAATCTGTCATAATCGCCTCGTCTGGGATTCTTTTTAACCAGTTCTAAGCCACAAAAGCGTAACCCCTTAGGGTCGCTGTTGTGATGTTCACGAAGGTGCCTAGAAATAGGGGTTTCAACTGAATATTTACTGGATCTGATGTGTTCTTGTATACGTTTCTTAAAGGGGCGGAATGTTTTACCTACATATTTTTTATTGCATTCACACGTAAGTAAATATACAATCCCTGATGTATTACAGTTGAAGAAGGAGGTTACAGTAAAAGCCTCTTTCTCCATACTGTCTTTGACTATTTTGGGTCTTTTTTAATAAATTTGCATGAAATGCATCTCCCGCATCTATAGGTACCAGTCAAGCAGGTCTGGAGCCATGTTGTAGGGGATGGAGTTTCGATTTTAAAATGACTTGGCGCTAAGAGGTCTCGTAGGTTTTACCTCTCCTAGCTGTGATGGAGACATTAGGAGCCAGTACTTCTTGAAGGTGCTGGTCGTTAGTTAGCAGTGGCCAGAAGCGTCTAAGGGAACTTTTGATATTTTCCCATCCTGCATCATAGGTGGCAATTAGGCGTATGTTATTCTTGGGGGCCTCTAATGATTTAGGGGTGTCCCCACTCAGTAACATGTTACGATCTGAGTCGAGTGCTCTCTGGTATGCACGTTTGAGGCACCTATTAGGATAGCCTTTGGCTTTAAAATGACCTCTTAGTTCTTTAGCCTTAATCTTGAATTCATCAATAGTGCTGCAGTTACGTCGGACCCTAAGATATTGACCCGTCGGAATACCCATTTTGAGCGGTATCGGATGGAAACTGTCCCATCTCAAAAGGTTATTAGTTGCCGAGGGTTTGCGATAAAGGGTGGTGTGTATTTTATTTTCCACTGTTATAGAGATCGTTAGGCTTTTACCCTCAAATTCATTCGTGAATCTGAGGTTTTCATCATTAATATTAAGGATACAGACAAACTCATTAAACTCCTGTAGATCCCCTAACCACACTATAAACACGTCATCGATGTAACGACGCCAAAGAAAGATCAGGGGGAGATATTGAGAGATTTCTGAATGTTGAAATAAATGTTCCTCCCACCAGCCCAGGTGGAGGTTGGCATACGATGGGGCACAAGCTGTCCCCATCGCGTTCCCCCTGATTTGATGATAGTATTTGTTTTTAAATGTAAAATAATTGTGTGAGAGAATGTATTCAAGAAGCTCCAAGCAGAAGGTAGTATGTGCTGTGGCTGCCGTACCTCGTTGTTCCAAAAAGTAGCGTATATGGCGAATGCCATTAGAGTGGGGAATAGATGAGTATAAGGCTTCGATATCTAAGCTACATAATTTAGCCGAAGGGGGTACTTCCAGGTTTACTAGGAGGGCAAGAGTCTGTTTTGTATCCTGAAGGTATGAGGGAAGTTTTTCAACGAATGGTCGTAAGATTTTATCGATATATATCCTGCCATTCTGTGTCAGATTTTCTATGCCCGAAACAATAGGGCGGCCAGGGGGTAAAGTCATACTTTTGTGTACTTTGGACAAGCAGTAGAAGGTCGCTATCTTGGGATGGCAGTTGAGGATGAATGCATATTCATCCCCTGATAGCAGCCCTCTACTGCGGCCCCTGTCCAAGATCTCCTTATACTTTTTAAGGAAGTCATTAGTAGGATCGGATTTAAGAATTTTGTATGTATTCTCATCTTCCAGCACTTTGAGGACCATTATAACATAGTCGGTGACATCCATCATGACTATGTTCCTGCCTTTGTCCGCGGGTTTCATGATAATTTCTGTATTATTCCTCAGGGACTTAAGTGCCATTTGTTCCCTGCTTGACAAATTCATATTGGGGTGGAAATCAAGAGATCTAATGTCTAGTTTATCGATTTCATTTTTCATTGTTTCTAAGAAGAGATCAATATTTCGATAGTTACCCAAGTATGGAGTGAATTTACTTTTTAGTTTTAAATCAGTATATTTTGAGTAATTAGTTTCATTACTTTCTTCCCATAAGTCCACAAGGGTCATAAGGCATTCGTATTCTCTATTAGACATGCCGTGGGATTTAGCTTTCTTTTCTTTATTGATCTCATGGAATTTGTGTAAAGCAAGTTTCCGGGCAAACAGATGGAGGTCTTTTACCCACATGAATTTATTTAAAGGAGGTACAGGTACGAAGGAGAGCCCTTTCTCTAAAAGTGAAAGATGGTCTTTGTTCAGAATCTGTTTTGAAAGATTAATGACTCTTCGGTCCGTTACTGGGCAATTTTCTTGAGTCAAAATCTTCTCCTTCCGGGTCTCCTACCTCTGTTTCCATCTCTGTCTCGTGTGGGGTATCTGTTTTTTCGGGTTTGCATACCATCCATGTGGCCCATCTCTAAAAAATTCACCCCTTTTTTAAGTATTCCTTTAGGATTAGTATATGTAGGGGTTGTTGAGGTCTGTAGTTGTTGGTCAATTTGTGATCCGCCGGAGGTGTCATTGTCTATATCTGAGGATTCATAATCTGATGTTAAGTAATTATCAGAATTGGTCCTAACTCTACGATTGAAATGTTGGTAGACTCTGTTTGTTTGGTAATCTCTTGAGTCTCTCACAAACTTTTGATGTTTGCGTATCTTAATGTTATTTTGGAATTTATCTAGATTAGTTTTTAATCTAGTTTCAAAGTGAGTGAATTCTGGATTAGACTGATATTGTTGTGCACTAGCAATTTCATGTTCAAGATTAAGGTTAATTTCAGAGATTTTTACTTTTTCAAATTTTATTAAAATCTCCATGAACCGCTTAGAACATGCTCCAGCTGCAGACTCCCATTCTTGCATTAATTCAGTATTGTCTGTGTATGAAGATGGTACATTACGAACCCTCAGGCCCCGTGGAATCATCTCCTTCTTAATATAATTTTCAAGAGATGACACCTCCCAGCTAGATTTAATTTGTTTTTGATATAGATTTTGTAAGCTGTTAAATGTTTGATTAATATCAGGGGTAGGATTAGAATAATCTAATTGCTCAACTGAGAACACATTGTCCGAGTCAATGCACCATAAATTGCTGTCAGGTTTATTGGATAGAAATCCTGCCATTGTTAGTGTGTGTTGCTTGCAACAAATATATTAATAATTTATTGGTGATGAAGTCTTAAAGTCTAAATAGTCCTGGTATTAAAACCACACAAAAATTGATAAAGCGCCGAAACGCGCGTCAAGTTATTTAGAAACTTAACCTAGCTAGTTCACCCTTTACTTCATTTACTAAGTCTGATTTAGATCTAGGCGGATTTCTCTTATTATTATTTTGAGTTAGAAGCTCAGCATAGCGATTTACATGAGTTATGTAGAAGCTTAGTCTAGTCATTTACTTTTCACCTTGTCGTCTGACTTTAGACCTAGGCGTATATTTTGAGTGAGCAGCTCTATATAGCTAGATATACTTTTTATATTTGATAGCTATACGCTTATTTTATTTTATTATTTTTTGGTTTGGGCAGATTTTCCTACCTCTTTTTCTCTTATTTATTATTTTTTCGCATAACAGCATGGGGTTGGGTATTTGGGGATGATGTGTCTGTCGGCTGAGAGTCATTTTTCTTTTCTACCTAGGAAGCAGGGGCAGACTTTGGAGCCATACTTTGTGTATAATCAGTTCTTTTTATTCCGCCCCTTTAAGAAACGTATACAAGAACACATCAGATCCAGTAAATATTCAGTTGAAACCCCTATTTCTAGGCACCTTCGTGAACATCACAACAGCGACCCTAAGGGGTTACGCTTTTGTGGCTTAGAACTGGTTAAAAAGAATCCCAGACGAGGCGATTATGACAGATTCCTTAGGCAAAGAGAATGTTTCTGGATCTATCGACTGAAGGCCCTGAGTCCTAATGGTCTGAATGAGGGGTTCTCCTTTTCTCCCTTCTTATAATTATCATATACACTATATGTAATCCTGTCTGTTTTAATGTGTGTGCTCTAATTTTTCAAATAATAATATCAATGATCTGATATAGTCTTTAATACAGTTTTCAATTCCTATTGGTTTAATCTATATTCTAAAACCTTTGTTCCTCCTTTTATTACTTTAATGATTTATAGGCAGCCCTGATTACTTTTTTTTTTTTTTTTCAATTTGACAATTTTTTTTTTTGTCGAAAGACAATGGTTCAGAGGGGTACAGAAAGGAAGAAAAAGGGGTGGGTTCAGGGGGTTGCATTTAAAACCCGTTAGGTTTGACATTACAGTTGATCATACCATTTATTAGCATTTGTACAATTCCTGACAATTCTGTGTGCTTGCATTATGTAGTACTAATTGTGCTTCTTGTCGTTTACATATGGGTTGTACAATGGGTTGAGCGAATTATTGTACCCTGCCCTGCGCGTCCTCTGTGAGAGGAGGAGTGGTACTTATTGTCCCTACATGTGGGTCTGCCTATGGTGGCGAGCAGGGTGCGCTTATCCCCTCAAAAGAGACACATATAGTATGCCCGCCTGAGGGGAAAAAGGTCTCCGTTGTGGGGGGCTATGAGTTGTCTGGCCATCTTTCCCTTGCGGGCTAATTCGGTCGCTGCTGGCCGGTCTGTCTGACCGCCTATGGTATATGTTTTTTTTTTTTTTCGTTCGCCTTCTCAGGTTATCTGTGGTTGTTCCTCAGGTGTGTACCCCTGAACGGGGCCAGGTATAAGAGGAGGTGGGGAGAGGCAGGGTGAGACAGGGGGGGGGGAGGAAGGATAACTGGGATAACTGTGGCTGCTATGAACCGTCGAGGTTCTATTCTTACGTAGTTGTATCAGTGTTGGCAGTGCCCCTAGCTGCAGCTTGGAGGGCTCTCTTATCTATGTATGTGGTCCAAATCTTTTTCGCTGTATCGCTCCCTTTGCCAGTTTTTGTTTGGTTCCACAATATCACCTCATAGTCCAGGGTGGTAGTGACCATTGCTGTCACCTCCGCCATGGAGGGGATCTGGGGGGTTTTCCAGTGTTTTGCCAGTAAGGTGGACGCTGAGGTGAGCGTGAGGAACATCAATTTAGTTATACTGTGGGGTATGTTGGCAGGCAGAAGTTTGAGCTAGAATGTTTCAGCGTTGTGTTCGAGGATGCAACCTGTGGCCCCTCTGATTATCTCTGCTATTCGTGACCAGTATGGTTGGACCTGGGTACATGACCACCAAATGTGTAGCATGGTCCCTGTTTGGGTCAGACATCTCCAGCATTTGTCACTCATGTTAGGATAGATTCTCTTAAGTCTCGTAGGTACCAGGTACCACCTATATAGTAGTTTGTGTGAGGCTTCCAGGTGCGAAGCGCACGATGTGAGTCCCCTGTGGTTAGCATATATGTGGTTCCAGTCGTCTGGTGTGAGGGTTTTATTGATATCTCTGTGCCAGTCTTTTTGAAATTGCCACTCCGGATCTGGCTTATATGCGTTTATGTGTCTGTAGCACACTGATAGTGTTTTTTGGGTGGGGGTGAGGTGAAGGCACATTTTTTCGAATGGAGTGAGGTTGGGATCAAATTGGGGTGGTGGTTCCTTGCCCGTATTGCTGTCTAGGAGTGTTTTCAGTTGCCAGTGTGAGAATGTTAGTTTGGCTGAGATATTGTATTTGGTCTGCAGTGTTAAGAACGGGAGCGGGCCGTTTTCGGTGCAGATTTGGTGTAGGTGTGTGATGTTGTGGGCTTGCCATGTTCTGTAAGGGAACGTGTTGTTGTGGAGTGCAATTGTTTTTAGTGGTGTTGCCATCGACCACGGTGTGGATGAGCAAAATGCAATCCTGTGATTGTCCCATATGTTGTATAGGAGTTTCGTGGTGGGTAGGGTGTCTCGGGGAACACTGCGTAGTTTCTTAGGCATCCCCATAGCAGCTGCAAGGTCTGTTTGTCCTCCGCAGCTGGCTTCGATGGAGATCCACTGGGGGGTGTAAGTGGTGGAGTGCATTTGGAGTATGTTGGCGATGTGTGTTGCATGGTAGTATGCCCTAAGGTCAGGGAATCCCAGACCTCCCTTTTCCGGGTGTCTCATTAATAAAGCTCGAGGGACTCTAGGGTGTTTTCCTCCCCAGCTAAATTTAATCAGGAGCGATTGTAGTCTTTGGATGTACGTCTGTTGTATGGGGATTTGTAGGGAGCGGAACATATAGAGGATTTTCGGTAATATCGTCATTTTGATGGCCGCAATGCGTCCTAGCCATGAAAGGAACTTGTTTTGCCATGAGTGTAGCGTTTGCTCCACTTCTTTGAGGAGCTTGATATAGTTGGTGGCGAATAAGCCTGAGTGGTGTTTTGTTAGCTTAATGCCTAAGAATGTCAAGTAGTCGGTCCTCCAGTCATAGTTGAAGTTGTGTTTGAAACGTTCCTCCTCCGATTTGGGCATGTTTATACACATGGCCTGTGTTTTGGTTAGGTTCAGCTGGTAATATGAGTGCGTACTGTATTCTGTCATTTCTTTGTGGAGGTTGGGAAGTGAGATTGTCGGATTGGTAATCGTGAGGAGTATGTCGTCCGCAAAAAGGTTAAGTGTGTACTCCCTGTCGCCTATTGTTACCCCGTTAATGTTTTGGTTGTTTCTGATGGCTATCGCTAGCGGTTCCAACGCTAGCACGTAGAGCAAGGGGGATAATGGGCAGCCTTGCCTGGTGCCGTTGGTTATTTTAAAGGGGGCAGAACTGAACCCTGAATTGAGAACTGTGGCCATTGGGGTGCTGTACAGAGCTCTTATCATGTTTTGGAAGTCCGGTGGGAACCCGTATCTCGACAACACCTCATGTAGGAATTGCCAATTGAGACGGTCAAATGCCTTTTCAGCGTCTAGGGAGAGGAGCGTGCTCTGTAGTGTGGAGCGGTTAAGGTAGTGAAGTATGTCCAATACTTTCCGGGAGTTGTCTGGGCCTTGTCTGCCTGCCACGAATCCTACTTGGTCTGATGATATCAAACTGGGCAGGAATGTTTTGAGCCTAGCCGCATATATTTTAGCATATAGCTTGGCGTCGGCATTTAGTAGGGAGATAGGTCTAAAATTTGGGCAGATCGTTGGTGGTTTACCCGGTTTGGGTAGGGTTATAATGTGTGCTGCTAGGAATTCGGGCGGTAGGGTTCCCTGTTGCGTGGCTAGGTTGAGGGCTTGTGTAATGTAGGGGGTTAATATGTCCTTAAAAGTGGTGTAGTACAGATTGGTGAGGCCATCAGGGCCTGGGGCTTTGCCTTTTGGCATAGAATCAATGGTCTGTGTCACTTCTAGGGTGGTAATGGGGGCCGCGAGGTCGGCTACTTGGTGTGCTTGGAGTCTGGGCATGTCAATTTTGTCGAGGTACTCCGAGATGGTGCGAGGGGTTGGCTGAGGTACTTGTGGGTTGTCCTTTAAGTTATATAGGGAGCTGTAGTAGGTTGCAAATTCCTTGCAGATTTGAGTGGGTTGGGGCAGTTTCTGTCCCTGGGGAGAGAGTAAGTATGGGATCCTGGTTTGGGCTTGCTTATCCCTGAGTCTTTGGGCCAGAGTTTTGCTGGCTCTGTTACCCATGACAAAGGTGGTCGCTTTGAGTCGTTTCAGTGCATAGCTTGCCTTTTGGAAATTGGTAGTGTGGATTTGTCTTTGCAGGACAGCGATCTCTTCCTGCGTGGCCTTGGAGGGAGCCATTTGGTTTGTCCTGTGTAGGTCTTGTAATCTTTTGAGGTTCTGGATATGTGCATGGTGTTGCTGTTTTTTGAGGTGGGCTGCCCGTCTTATAAATATGCCCCTGATGACCGGTTTGTGGGCCATCCAAAGGGTGAGCGGGGTAATGTCTGGGGTGTCATTGGTTTGAAAGTATGTCTGCATGTCTTGTCGTAGCGTTTGGGTGAATTGGTGATCAGTGAGAAGTTGCTCGTTGAGCCTCCAAGGGCCTCTGTTTTTGTAATTGTAGTGGTCTGCTAGTGTAAGTTCCACTGGATTGTGATCTGACCAGGCAGAGGTACCTATCTCACACGCTGCCGCATGGTTCAGATGTGCGCTTTGCAAGAGGAAGCCATCGATTCTTGAGTAGGTGTTGTGTACCTGGGAGAAGTGTGTGTATTCCCTCTCGGTTGGGTGCAGTGTGCGCCATGCGTCGTATAAGCCGTGTGACTGTAGGAGCTTGGTTAGAGACTTACATTGCCTGTGGAGGACCTTGTTCCTATGGGGTGTATGTTTCGCTGTTGAGTCTAGCGCGGGGCCTTGGATCTGATTAAAATCTCCGCAAATGATCGTTGTGCCCGTTTGCGTTGAGGTTATGAGCCTCAAGAGGTTGTGGAGGTATCCACTTTGGTTTGCATTCGGCATGTACGTATTGACTATCGTGTATGTGTAGCTATTAATGGTGCAGATCAGTATAAGGTATCTCCTGTGTGGGTCTGTTGTGACTATTATTTCCTCAAATGCAAGGTGTCGGCTGATTAGGATGGAGACGCCTTTACGTTTTGTGGGCGCTGTGGCGTGATATTGGTGCGGGTATGTTGCTTTGCCCAGGACTGGGTTAGTGGTGGATTGGAAGTGTGTTTCTTGCAGGCAAATTATGTCTGCTTGGGCGTTTTTTAGATCTTTGAGTAGAATGTGTCTCTTGTGTGGGGTGTTCAGGCCCCTAACGTTGTGTGTGTATATCTTCATAATACGGTGTTAAGAATGGGGTATGCTGTTCTGGAGCTCTGTGGATATCTTGGGGTGCACAGGGTGCGCAG